CCGACCCGCAGCCCCTGCTCGCCCGGCCCCCGGGCTCCCCCGTCTAACCCCTCACCTGCCCGGGCCCCGTCGGGCAGGATCTCATAGACCTTGTGGGGGTCGGCGGAGTCCGAGCTGTGATCCCGAAGCACCTGGATCCCCGGCTTCCGGTTGAGGGCAGAGCGGAAGTTGCGTTTCCAGACGGAGGGCGCGGGGGCATCCTGGCCTGGCCGGAAGCTGCCGCTGTCAATGGCCCAGTCCTGGGGGGTTGGGGGGGGGAAGAGATGTAGGTACTTGGCAGCTGGGGAGGCCTAGAGGAGGCTGTGGGGTGGGGCATAATCAGGGTCCCCCCAGACCTCACTTTTCCACCCCCCTCCCACCCAGGAGGGCACGAGGGCTGCGAAGTGGCTGGGATCCCAGCCCGCAGGCCCCCGCCAGGGGAGCCGTTCAGAGGGAGGGGGCTGGGTCCTGGCATGGGGGGCGGGGGGACAGGATGGGCCCACAGGGCACCTGCTAAAAGGGGAGGCTTTTTAAAGCAAAGCAGCCTGGGGAACTCCCTGCTACTGGACGCGGGGAATCCGGGATCGGGGGTATAAACCGGCCATTGGAGATCCGCCCCCCGCACCATCACTGGCAACGACGGGTCACCACGGCCGGGGGGGCGAGGAATCGCCCTGCCCCCCCATATCTGTGGGTGCAGAGGGGCTGGGAGGGGGGCGTACCCGGAATAGCTGGAAGTCCTCGCTGGAGGCGTCCTGCCGCAGCCCGTGTTTCCAGGGCACCCGGAACTGGGTGCGCCCCTGGTCCAGCCACCGCACCCCCGGGTAGCAGCCACTGTCCAACTTCCCCCGCAGCCACGGCACGATCAGCGGCTTCGGGGTCCCCATCGCCGGGGCGCCGCCTAGGGGAGAGAGGGGGGCACGTGGGGGCGGGGCCTGTCCCCTTTCGGGGGCGGGGCCCACCCAAGGCAGGGACTGGCTTGGAGGGCAGGGAATGGGGGCGGGGCCTGTCCCCTCGGGGGAGGGGGGGGGCTGGGAATGGGGGTGGGGCCTGTCCCCTCAGGGGGGGGTGAGTGGGCAGGGAATGGGGGCGGGGCCTGTCCCCTCAGGGGGGTGAGTGGGCAGGGAATGGGGGTGGAGCCGTGT